ACCCAAATCCTTCTGACTCCAAGTCAAGAGTTCTAGCCATTATATCATGCTGATCTCATTATTTTGACTAACCCCATCCCTCCAATTCTAAAAGAAACATACAGCCAGAATGCATTTCTAATTGAATAATGGGTCAGAAAAAGATTTGGGGGAGGGGGAAGTGAAGAAAATGGACCTGTGATTTCCACTGACATACAGAACTCTCAACGTGGGGCTTCCCACCAAAGCCAACGGGCACACCTTCTACAAAGTATAGTATCAGACAGTTGTCTGGAGGCAATGGGAGATTCAGTGAGTTGCCCAAGGTCACACAACCAAGATGTATCAAATGTAGGGCTTGATCCCAGGAACTTCAACAGCATCCAACCACTACACCACACTGCTTCTCTCCCACTTTAAATAACAACAACAACAACAACATCTTCCATCCACTTTGCTCTTCAGAGTTTCAAATCATTTTCATCATGTATCATCAATTCATTACGTAATCTCCTCAGAAGCCTGGTGTGAAGTAGACAAGACAGATTTACAGATAAGGAATGAGACACAGAGAGACTTGCCCAGAGTCAACACAGTAAGAAGTGGGCCTGCTGAGCCATTTTGTCTCCTGTTCCTAAGATCACAGATTTAAGATAGAAAAGTCCTTAGAAACTACCCAGTCTAACTTCATTTTATAGATGAGGAAACTGAGACTCTGAGAGGTAATTTGCCCAAGATATAGGTATAAAATAGTCAAGGCAGGATTTGAATCCAGGTCCTCTGCTTTCTACTGCACCAATATTCATTCATTTATTCAACAGACCACCCTATTGATGGTAGTAGACCCACATTAAAACCTTGGGACTTGTAAGGCTAGCAACAGATTCCCTCCGATGTGATATAATCAAGGCTTATTCCCAACCTAGGTTTGCCTATGTGATTTGATTTTCTCAGTCTTGTCAATCTCTACACAGACATGTACACACAGGATCTAAACAAAATACTATATGTGTGGACAAGTATATATTATTCACTATACCTTACCTACAGAAAGGTGAAATAAAGATTTGTATGTTACATCCACACTCACACCCACACCCACACCCACACACTCCCAAAAAAACACACATAGATTGCTGGGATAATGGGCTATAAAGCCATCATTCCCTGGAGAGCTCTAAGAAGAGAACAACAATTCTCCATTGTTTAATCATTCACCTGCTTACAGGAAGAGATGAATCAGGATAGCCTTTTAGGTAGGGTCGGTAGCAGACCTGAGGCACCAGGCACACTTATGATCTGCCTGAAATCAGGTATTTTTCTTCTTTTCTATGAACTGAAATTTCATTAACCTTGTCAAATCACCCCTCTGTCATGTTTAGGGTTCAGACTGATTCAAACTCAGCCACTGTGGGTAGTGGAAAGTGTTGGAAGACTTAAAGGATGATCCAGCTTCTTCCCCCTAAGTATCTGTGACCTTTGTTGACCTCTGTGAAACTCAGTTTCCTCCCCTGTTTAAACAAAGGGAGAGAAGGGCAGCTAGGTGGTGCAATGAATAGAGCTCTGGCCTTGGAGTCAGGAGGACCTGAGCTCAAATCCAGCCTCAGACACTTGACACTTACTAGATGTGTGACCTGGGCAAGTCACTTAACCCTGATTGCCTCACCAAAAAGCAGAAAAACAAAAAATAAATAAATAAAGGAAGAGAGATGGTTGGCTCAGATGATCTCCAAGGTCCTTTACGGCTCTAAAGTTCTAAGAAACCACTGTAATTTCTCATTCTGTTTGTGACCCTCGTGACCTCTGCCAATCAATGACAGATATGTTGGGCAAAGCAGATCCATCTTCTAACTCAATAGGAATCCTCTTCTTCTCTCACTTAGAAACCATCAAAATGCTGCATAATGTAAATGATAGTAGCTGTAAGAGGTTTCTCGTTTAAATTATGCATTGTTACTATTTTGGGAGAATTCAGACACAGTTCCAGTCTGGGAATGCCAGCTGAGGACAATATGGAGCCAAGAGGGAAAGGATGAAGGGATCTCACAGGAAGGACTGGGCACTGTGCATCTGATCCCCTCCCAGAGCTGGGTACAGGTCTCTACAAACCATCCATGATGAAAATCCTAGAGGCCCTGAAGCATCCGGGGACTTGGAAAGCTGCAGGCAAACCATCCTGAAAGCCCCTGACCTTGGCAGACTTTCAGGGAACTCTAATATGGCCCTGCTTTTCTAACAGCCTAATAATAAGTCAGGTTTCTCAAAGCAGGAAGACTCTACCTTCTCCTCATCGGGGAAGGCAGGGATGATTTTGATCTGGGAGGATCCAGGAGATGTCATTTGGCCTTTCTATCCCTTTTCCTCACCAAGAGCTTCCTGTTGACCCCGCAGGAATCATTCTAGCTTGGAGGCAACTTGGCATCCTGCCTCTGCTTAAGCTGTGTCTCCCATGGACTCCTCCCTAGACAGTCCTCCTTCCTCCCAGCTCTCCTCTCTGATGCTTTGCCATTGCCATCTTTCTCCCACCCATGCCTGGCAGTATGCCAGAGGAGGAACACAGAGCAACCAGCCCCAGGCTGGCTGGTCAGTTTCAGTATAGGATCCAAACCAGGTATTCTGAAACACACATGCAAGAAAGGCAGGTAACAAGAATGTGACTACAGATAGCATCAGGCCAGCCCTACCCACTGGTTATGGCTGCTGGCAAGGTAGCTCTGTATTCCTTCAAATTCGACTGTACAAAACCTTCCATGGAAACCAACAGAAAGGCATGCAATCCCCTCAACTTGAAAATCATCAAAGCTCTCTGTCCATAGGGAACTGCTTGGGATCACTCTCCTAGGAGAAACGGCACGTGTGGTTTCCATTGTTCCAGTCTCTGATACCCGATTCCCATTTTCTCCGGACCTTGAACTGTTAAGCTGCCACCACTCACTCTCCTACAGCCACACTACTCAAGGGTGCAGAAAGTAGGACATAGGAATAGCTGCATTTTATAAAGAGAAAAAAAACCCTCAGGATAAAAGCTACTCACTCACAACCTCAGAGCCCCTTAGCTTTGCCAAGATGGTCACTAGGGACTGTCCCTTTTGAATGTGGCAATCAGTGCCAAGGCAAGGGCTCCCAAAAGCTTCTTATGTTAAATGGTGAATGAGCTTCACCCCCACCCCAGTCAAGTCTGAATGGTCACATCTCTGCTACTCCTTCAGACTTCTAGCTGTCTGTCTCGGTTCCCCTCCTCCCCTCACACCTTGGACCAAAAGAATTAGAAAGGAAAGTTGGGGGTGGAGGAGAGAGAGAGAGAGAGAGAGAGAGAGAGAGAGAGAGAGAGAGAATTCAAGTGAGTGGTTAGTCCAAGAAAATGTGCCAAGATTTTCTCCATCACAGTAATAGCTCTCTAAAATATATGAAAAGAGAGGGAGGATTTAATGCGGGCTCTTAAAGAGATAAAGAAATACCCCCCCCCCAAAAAAAGATTGAGCATCCCTTGGACAACAGGCTCTGTCCCCCACCAGGCAGAACATGCAGGATCCTACACCTGCCTATTTAGTTTCACTGACCCTGGCCTCATCAAACACAAGAAAAGCTATTTTTGTAGTATGTAAAGCTAATGAGCATTTCTTAAATTGGTCCCCAATCTTCTCCTCCTTCTCCTTTAAAGTCCTCCACCCCCATCCAGTTTTCCAGTAGGCAGCGTTTCATTAAAATGGCAAGAAAATAAATCCCCTTAGCTTCAAGTGTTGGGGGGTAGGGGGAAGGGAGAAAAGAAAATATCCTGCCAGCATCGGGGTTTCTGATATTTGGCTGCCAAAAACCACCCGCGGCAGCAAAATGGATTCTGTCTTGGGGATGTCTTGGTCAATACAGAGAATCGGCATCTGAGTGAGTTTCCCAAGAAGGTGAATTGGCCTGATGGCAGGTCACTCTCTCTGTCTCTCTGTCTCTGTCTCTGTCTCTCTGTCTCTCTCGCTCTGTCCAAGATTTGGATCTTTCTTTTTTGTGCTTGACACAAAATTGAAATATCAGTAGACTCAGACCAGCAGCCTTAGCTAAGGCGGAGTTAAAGGCATAAATAAAGGTGACTGGGGCAAAGCGGGGAGGGGGGGTGGTGGTGAGCAAGCCCCGAAGAGCGCCCTCGAGGAAGCCAGACAGGGAGTACGGCTGGGAGGGCGAGGCGAGGCGAGGCGAGGGGAAATGTTTGTATGGACAAGTCCGGCATAGCTGTCCTAGCTTCGCGGCCAGCTTCCCTTCCCGTTGACACCCGGAGCTCACGGAGGTCTCGGCTCTAATGTCAGGCTGCAGGTAGAAAGACACCCTAGGAAAGCTGGGAGAGGGCTGGGGTGGATTGATTGGGACCCTGGTCCTGACACTGTATGCCAAATTCAGAAGGGTCAGCGGCTGCCTGGCAGACTGCCTCCGAGAGGTTGAAGCCTTTTTGAACACTGATTACTATTGTATTCTTGCCCAAGGGGAATTGCTCTGAGCCTTCCATGTTCGCCCGATGCCCGCCAGGAGTGGGCATCCGGGAGCAGGTGGCTTCCAGTGGCCCTCACGCAGGGAAACGGGAGGGCGAGCTGGGTGGTGTACACACAGCCCCGTGCGAAAGGTAAACGGCGGCGTGAGCTGCTCCTACACACACACACACGCACACACACACACACACACACACACACACACACACACACACACGCCACACCACACCACACCCCCGGGCATCTCCCTTTCCAGGCATTAGTCCCCACTACCAAAGGCACCCCAGTCTATCCATCCTCCCGTCAGTCCATCGGTGCACGCATGCATCGCCAGCCCGGAGCCAAGTGGCTCTAGAGCAGCCCCCAATGCAAACAGCCCCCGGCAGGTCCCTTCAGAGCCCCGAGCCCCCAGCCTTCTCCTCCTTCTCCCTGCGCCGCTCCCGTCCCCACCCCCCACCGCGGTCCACGAAGGATGGATGCCTCCAGATCGCGGGATCCAGTCGCCCCGGGGAGAGAAAGAAGGGAGGCGCCGAGCGCACCCGAGCTCACCCTCAGAGCCGAGAGATCGATCTCGTCCAGGCTGCGAGCCGGGGAGTCGCTCGCCATGTTGGCTCCTTCACCGGGCAAACGGAGCCCCGGGCGCCCCGGCAGTCCCCTGAATTGCCCCTTGGCTCTAGGGGCTGGCGGTCCTCATGCGGGCGGGGGTCGCGCCCCCCAGCGCCCTCCCGCAGCAGTCCGAGCAGCAGCAGCCGCGGAGAGCGAGTGAGCGAGGTCCGGCAGCCAGGCAGTCCACCTCGGCTCGGCGCCCTGCCCCAGCAGCAGCAGCAGCAGCGGCGGCGG